CCCCGCCGCCCCCTGAGCTCGCCCGCCCTGGCTCACGGCTCGTGGGGGCCTCATCTCCCAGCCCAGCCTCCCCGAGGCCCGTCCCGCTCCGGCGAGAGCCCGCACGCACACACCAGCTCCCCGCAGCTCCTGGCACCTGGCTATGCAGCGCCCGCCTTCCCTCCCGGGAGCTCCGGGCGCCTCTGCCATCCTCTACGGGCGACCTGCGGCACAGGGATGCTGAGCTCACGTGCCACCGTGAGACCTGGCCCAGCACTGCCCCAAGGATGCCCTGTCCCCTGCCCACCGCCCGGAGCCCAACACAGCTCCGCATTTCGTCTTGCCCTCTCTTCCCCTAGCACTAGAGAGACCGCTTGCCTCCAGCCTTGCCAGCAGGACACTAAAAGGATGCACACACACACACATACACACACACACATACACTTCCTACAGAGTCAGCACTACGACATGCCCAACGTGGCCAACGTTCCCTGTCCCCATACTGACAAGAGGACACTACTACACAAGCCCAAGCCCTTGCTGATGAGCTATGTGGTTCAGTGAGCTCTGCTCCCTGTGTACTGGCCCCAGGACTGGTGCAGCTGCCCCACCGCTCACCAGCTACCACATTATGACCAGGAAGCCCCCGGGTCACCAAGGCACCCCGGGACTTCCAGGAACACAAAGCCACGCAGCATCTTCTCTTCCCATCGTGCTGCCACGGATGCACTCGTGTGCACCACCTGCAGAGCCTTCGTTCCTCTCCACTTCTGCCACCTGCATTGTGTCCCAGCCTTAAAGACCACAACAGTGAGGGTGACACTGTCCATGGAAAGTTCCCTCATGTCTTGTCCCTTCACCTCACTCTTTAAGACTAAGAGACCTTCCCTGAAGAGGTCCTAGAGTTCCCTAATTCTGCTTCATCCCACCATCTCCTTCAAAGTTCCTTCATTCCTAGTGATGCTCAGTCTGGTAGTGTCCAGGCTCAGGACTCTCCTGTGCTCCATGCAGAGATGCCCTGAAGTCCCCTTGGTGCCCCAGCTGTCCCAAGACCCTGTAGGAGGCCCTGAAAGTGCTCTGCTCCCTGTGAGGTCAGCCACTCACTTTCCTGGGACATGACTCCTTCCCTCCTTCGAGGACTGAGCTATACCATGGGCAAGGTGTGATCCACATGCCTACACAGGCTGCCTTCACAATGCCCTGACTGGGCCACCCAGCTCATCAGCCAGACTGGGGTTCAGCTCCATTCAGGACTCCTCTTCCCATCACATCTTCCACTGGCTTGGACCTACTTCGCTAATGCCACCATTTCACCACAAAGATGCAATTCCAAGGCAAATACGTTTATTCCACTCCGGTTCTGCAGACAGGCACAGGTATGACCAGCTCCTGGCAGGACCCTAGCACCTACCATGGGCTATGCATGTCCTCTTGTATGGCCCATTCAAGCTGCTCTGATGTTTTACTCTTTGCCAGGACACTATGCACTACCTCTAATTTGCTTCACTCAAATATAGGGGAACTCGGGAAACAACTGCCATGTTGCCCTGCTTTTTAAAATCAGAGCCTCTCCCAGTGGGAGAAATTCCAGAAATTCCCACTTAATCTTCACACTACACAGTGCCTCACACACCTGCCTCTGTCATGCTTTCTAAGCAAAGTTCAATTAGAGAATAGGAGGTTCTAGCTCAGACTCCAGGACAGCCTCAGCTTTCTAATGCTTTCCCTATGGCAGACAAGTGACCTCTTCCTCTCTCTTGGCTTTGGTTCTGCAGCTGTGTTACTCCCAAGGTCTGATATTCCTCTGCTCCCTTGGGACAACTCTCAAGACACGTTTGCAGATCTGCACTGCTCTACACCCACTGGGTAGGATGTTCTTATGTGCAAGTCAGCACAGGTATTGGTGTACAACCACCACCCAACCACAGCAGTGCCTGACCTAGCCCTGGGCAGAATAGCCTTCATGGATGCATCTTCCCCCAGACAAGGCTTCACCAGACAGGCTGGGCTGTGATGTGACCACTGCAGGTGTTCCGCAGGAGCCTCAGGCAGGCTCAGGAGTACTTCCTCGCATGGGATGCCTCTCATCCTGCAACAAACAGCCCAGCAGCAAAATGCATGCTTGGGCCCACAGTGCCAGGACAGCCAAGGCCACTGACCCTCTCCCTGACCAGACCTGACCTGCCACAGCACTTCTACATACCCACGGCAGACACAACATGTGAGGGCCCTGCAAAAGGCACGGATTACGTGACCAATTCACCCTTTCCCAGTCCTACACCATAACCCCAGGCGTTTCCTGGTACCTTTGGCAGAGGCATTGTTCTGCGAGGATGATGAGGGTCTCCTCTGTGTGAGGAAAACACCAGGTGCCATCGGCTGCGATCCCCTGTTAGGCTGGGCGACCCCAAAGGTGCTGGCCCCTGCAGTGTACTCGTGATCTGTGAGGCTGCTGGCATGTGACTCCAGCTTCGGCTCTGGTGAGCTGCCTTCCTGAGCCGGTTTGTTCACGTTGTTGGTTGACAGCTTCTTTTTGGTATTTTTTTTCTTCTTGCCTTTTTGTTCCTCCTTTAAAATGACAAACATGAAGCTCAGATTAATCCCCAGAAGACCCTTAGCTACGGCAAGGGCTGGAGGTGTTGCTTAGGGTTCTGATACAACGAAACCCCGTGAAGTTTGCCATGTACAAACTGCTCGGGGTCTGTTCCGATACCATCTTTCTCACAGCTCTCCCTGCTGCACTCACACATTTGCCTTTCTTTCATCTATGTATGTGCTTTGTGCAGAGCCTCCTTGTTTGTTACTCTGCATACCCTGGGGTGAATGGGAGCCAGCCAGGACCAAAATGATCCTGCCTTGGGAGACCAGCATAGTTCTGCATGAACAAATCTTTCGATGTTCCACAAAAACTGGCACCTCCTATCTTCAGGTATCTTCATACATTTTCACAATAACATGGATGGTATCAAACATCCCATTGATTCACAGACTCTGCCTCCTGCTAGATCACACACATTAGCTCTCGACCTGTAACTGCACACACACATACATACCATGAGAACAGTGCTCTGCCACTGTCCCGTTTCCCTTGCCTACCTTCAGTCCATTTCTTGATGAAACCCTGCTACCATTCTTAGAAATCTTCTGCTCAACAGAAGCCAAATGCCACCAAAACCTGCATCTCCAGCAACTTGCCAAGGTGTCTCACCAACCCTGCTCTAGCAGACCTTGTCAGCTTTGCACCTCATGATGTCACATTTGTGGGGCTGTGTGCTTTGCGTCTCTCTGACCTCTTCAGAGATCAGACACTTATCAACATCCAAAGTGCCTCCATATCTTCGCTAAACTGACCCATAGTTACTCACAGTTCACCAGATCTTTAGAAGCAAATCATTACACTTCCCAGCAGCTGATTTCCACAGACAAGGCAATCACACCAGTCAGACTCTTAAATACACATCAATACGCGGTTCATGCACACTCCTTTCGGGCAGCCTCCTTCTACCTTAGCCTGGTAGCTATGCTTACTCACTCAAACTTCTCTACACTTCCGATACATCGCCTGCCCTGCGCTGTGGCGTTGTCAGATATGTTGTGACTATTGGACTTTCATCCCATTTATTTCCCTTAGACTGTTGAGCCCTATGGCACTGGCATGAATAAACACTGAGGAGGACTGGCACTGCACGGCTATTCGGGCATGACTCTGCTGCTGGGGGAGAGGACTTTCACTTCCTGACAGCTACTACTTCTCAAGCAACCTCACCTGTTGTGACAACTTTGCGGCAGCAGCAGCAAGTCCAGTTTCAATGGAGGCGACTCTTGTGCCCTCTCGCACCGGTCTGTCTTGCCGAGGCACCGAGGGGCCAACTCGTGCTACAAGGAAAGCAGATGCAGGTGAACTGTGCAGAATGTGCCCGTGTGAGCAGCATAACCACACGCTGGGCAGCAAGGCTCTGCCCTCCTGAGCAGGAAGGGCCAGGGATGCTGCAGTCTCTGCCCTGTCCTTCCCCAGGAAGCATGCAAAGGCAGGAGGTGCCAACCACCTCCAGTCACAGTGGCCTGGGGAGAAGCTGCCAGTAAAGATGTAGCACAGCTGAGCAATTTCACTGGCAGTTGCAGCTGCCTGAAGCCAAAGCTACAGAAGGGTTCTGCCTACACGACAGATATGAGCAACTCCAGCATCACTTCCAAATGGACAGTGTTTACTGCCCCATCAGCTGGGGGTGGACATGCAGTGCCACAGGCTGATGAGACATGGGCTGCTTGTCACACACACACAGCAAGCCGAGGAGACTCCCCTGTTAGCGGGCCACAGCAAAGGTGTCTAAGGACCCCCTGGCCTGTCACTGCCTCTGGTGAGCCACAACAAAAACACCCTTCCAGGCCAGCAGCTTTGGCTGAACCTGCGGGAGACTATTCCCACACTCTCTCATTACTCTTTACACAGTCAACACCTAAAAGGCATGGCAACTCAGCTGTCTGGGGCTTCACTGTTACACTGCTGCTAAGGTGGCCACCAGTTGTTCCATCACCAAGAGTGTGAAGAAAAATAAACGAACAACACACCAAGAAATGACTTTTTCCTGCCAACTGATTGACGGAGGAAGGCTAGCACTGCTCAGCATGAGTACCAGCACATGATACTACCTCTCACTGTGCTGGAAAGGATTAATCCTTCACATGATAAAGAAATTGCTAGTTGTGGTCTTACAATTTCCACATTCTTTGAAAAATGGCTGTTTTTTTAGGGACCTGCACAACTTAGCCTGAGTCTGGGCAGCACAGACTGTATGGACTTACCCGTTGGACTGTAAGGGGCATCATCTGAACTTTTCCTTTTCTTTGATCGGGATTTGAATACAGGATTATCTTCATCTGATTCGAGAGAAGGGTAAACTACAGCAGGAAACAAAGGCAATGGTTTCAGTGTAGGAAATAGCTCTACCTTGCACAGAGGCCCACTTGCTCTGTACAGGTGTAGTGACTACAGGCATCACAGCTAGAATAGCAAGGTCCCCCAGAGTACCACGGAGTGGTGACACAGCAGCAAGTCAGGGGACTCTCTCCTGCTCCCGTCTACACACTACACTTGGAGCTGCTGTCACTAAACTGTGACCAGGTACATTTAGGATACACAGTGAAACTTCTCAGACAGGAAAAATCAGTCTTCCTCTTGTCTGTGGATCAGCAGCACAGCTAGAAGAGACATGAGCAGGTTCCCTTATCTCAAGATAGACTGGTACTGAAGACATGTCAGCCAACCACTACATTCAGCACCACACCTTCCCGGCCCGTGTGACTCCCATGCAGTTAGGCAGAGACAAATGAGACAGCGTGAGTATCCAGAAGATGAACATGAACCATTCTACCCTAGGACCCTTCACAGGCCTGTGAGATAAACACCAACTTGATCTGTCTAAACTTTGTCCCAGCCTGTACTATGAAGTTTCTGCACTTTTTTTTCACATGCATTTGATTTTCTTGCCAGTTGCTGTTTGTTATATCACTGGTGATTTTGGCATTACTGTGGCATTTGGCCACTGACTAGAAGTCTGCTGATCAGATGTGGCACAGAGTCTCTGGAAACCAAGCCTGCTCACAACAAAGACTCCCCATTCACTGGCACCACAGACAAATAATAAGCAAATTCACCCCTCAGTAGAGTAGAGTCTTGTTCATGCATGGCATCTGTCTGTAAACCACAGCCCTGTCCAACAGCTTCTTGGAGCTGCCCTTTCCCAAAGCACCTTCCACCAGCACTACAACTGCATCCCAGCTCATGCAGCACACTCTAAATGGCTGGGTAGCCTCCTGCAGCATGTCACAGCATCCCCATTTTGCCTTGGTATCTCTGTTAATAAGGTGAAAAGTCACACACACCACTTTTCCAATCATAACAAATGATTTCTGATGGCCGTGCTTGCCAGGCAGACTTAAACATACACATAGACTCTCCTGTTACGTAGCATAAACATCTACCAGCTTCCTGCCGTCTTTGGGACTTCACACTTTCCAGTCCCTATCAGTCTTCACATTATTACTTTTCTTCATTTTCTCATTTCTTATACTCAGAAATGTTTCTGCAGATTATTATGGCAGAACTGATATAACTGGTACAAACTGGCTTTGTGCCCATTTCTGCTTGAGATGCTTGCATTCTCTGCCAACACTCAGCATACCATTGGATCCCTTTTCTCAGTACAAATTCAACTTCTCACTCATCTTAGCTATTTTATTGCTATTGTGCAGACAAGGACATTTCTGTCGTAAGTACCAGTACGTGACACACATTTCTGGGACAGTTTCCTGTGTCTTGGCTGGCAGCTGCAGTTTCAGTGGGCTTACATGCTCCTTAAGATCTTTTGATTGTGACATGCCTCAAATAGAGTCCACCTCTATGGCTCTGTAGTCAGTCTACCTACCATACATTGTTTGCTTAATTTTGCCATGCAGATCTCTTGCTATTTGCACTTACCAAAATACCCAGTTGGTTTCAACATGACAGAGAGTGAGCAAGCACTTAATGAGAAACATGGGGGATTTGAAAACATGCATAAATATGTACATGCATACCCAGGCACACGCTTACTCAGACAGCTTCTTTGTACTTACCGTAATCTGAATCTTTAAAACAGGCATCTAAGTGGTCCTGATCTTCATCGTAATCTTCGATGTCAATACTGTTCTTTGTGCTTTTCTTTAGTAACCGCTTGCCAGCATTTTTGTTGCTGCCACCACCTGCTTTTTTAGAGTTTTGTGTGGAGATGGAGTTATTCTTCGCCTGATTGGTACCCCACGATGTCTGGAGGCAGGACTCTGATGACTGGAGGTTTGCCATTGACAGCATGCCCTGGATTGCTTCTTGCGTGCTGGGTGAGGCAGGTGGCTGACTGCGGGGAAACATTGAGAAATGAAAGAGCTATTAGCAATTCCAAAAAAACACAAACCCCTCACAAACAGTTGACTCGTTCGACTGCGCAGTGCTGCTAGAGGAGACTTCCTGATTACTGCCCTTCGAGCAGCTGGGCATGCCACAAGTGACAACAGTTATTTTTATGCTAACAGCAGTATCACAGACAGCATGTGAGATTTGGGGTTGCTGCCCTGGCAACCGGGAAGCTGTGCACCATGGGGCTGGGCATGTGGTGGGCAGCTCCCTGCGGGGGGCTGTGCTGTCGCTGGTGGGTGAGGACAGGGCTCAGGTAACTTTTTAAAGCCTGTAACAACATTCCCAACAACACAGTGTCTCTACTAGCGACTCCAAGGGCTTAGGGGTCAGCGCTAGAGGGGAATGTCATGGTAGGCTCCTTCTACATGCTGCCATGCAAGTGGAGGAAGAATTTGAACAACTGGAAGGAAGCTCACGATCACAGGCCACAGTTCACACTGGGGACTGTCACCTCTCCAGGATCTGCTGGAAGAGCAACATGGTAGGGCACAAGAAATGCAAGTGATTTCTGCAGTGCATCATAAGGGTTTTCTGATGTGGATGTGGAATGGATGGATTATGAGAGATGCTGCAGAGATACAGACTGAATGGGTGGACTACAGGATGGGTGGAAACCTTGCTTTCATTGAACTTGCTTTCTGGTATTTTATTGCCAGTTGTCAACAGGCACGGCACATCTACTACAGAAAGAAATACGTTCCTGCAGAGTAGGCTGAAGTCAAACGATGTGTAAATACTGACTGGCATGTATGCTTAGTGAGTGGGAAAGCACGCTCCCCACAGCATAGAAGAATGAAGAATGATAATCTTGTCAGAGAACACCATCCATTAATTCTGCAACAGGCAGAACACATAATCAAATATTTCCAGAACTTTGGAGTTTGGGCAAATAGTGAAATGCAAAAAAACCTTGGTGTGTTAAGTTATGCAATAGAAGCCCCTAACATACAGCATTTCCCAAGCAAATTAGCAGCACTTTCTCTTACTTGATCTTAATTTAATCGACATTAAACCATTACAGAACTCCAGATAGAGTTAATGTTCAAGACATAATGGGAATTTCTGGACACTAATTGTATTTATAAATAATCCTGAAAATGAGCTAAGACCAGCATCAGCAGCTAGCAACTCAACAAATAGTTGAATATTGAAAAACGTATTTAGGAAAAAGACATTTTAATCCCCTCAATATCATGCCAGATGCCTTAGCTTTCTCCCTGTTAAAGGCGTATTTTGCACCATCTATAAAAAATTAACATATTTTCTTTCAATTTTTCCCCCCAACTGTTTTTGCAAACACCAGACCCTCAAAACACTGCAAACAGACCATCAAACACTGATCACTAAATGGGCAAATGAGAGAGGAACTGCCTTAAGCAACACAAGATTCAACAAATAAATTGTGGTTCTGAGAGTCAAACCACAACCTGAATGTGTGGGTGAAATGTCTCAAAAAGACAGAGCTGCACACAGGGCAAAGTGTTTCTCATTAGGGCATGTGCTTGTGTGTACTTCCATCAGAAGTATTTCAGTTTTCTAAACAAAAAAAAAAAATCAAGAAGAATCAGGAAGCAATTTTTAAACTCTGGAAGGCCATATCCCCTTTCTGTAGCTTCAGCAACGATTTAAAAAACCCCACGAAATTAAACTATCTGTGTGTTACAACTATGACTTAAAAAACATTTAAAATGTGCACTAGACCAGGAGCAGAGTAGCCAGAGTGCTTCTACCCCTGTGATCCTTCTTGGCAGCCATCTGGCAAGGGTCCTTCAAACACAGCAAGGTGGCACTTGGTGATAGCACAGACCCTGCCACTGCTCTGCAAACTCCAGCAGCTTTGCTTTCCTCAAGCTAAAAAATTATGTTGTGGATGAATCAAGAAAAGGACACTTTAACGAACTGACCGGTAGCAGTTTGTGCCTTCTGCAGTGGGCTCCACTCCAGCATTTTGCATGGCCTCCTTTTTTTGGGTTTTATTGTTTCTTTTTACTCTTGTAAAGACAAGGACACATGATTGAGAGATTAGTTTACTGCAATAACCATTTGCTGCCTAGCAAGCATCTGGTGATTTTCAGCTGTGTATAGTGCAGGAACTGAAAGATGTCCTCAGTGGAAACTGCTGGCTTCCCTGCAATACCCAGCAGCATGTGGTAAACCTTGGGGCAGGCTCCGCATGGTCCACAGGCAAAAGAACCTCTCAGACGGCCAGAATAGCATGGCCAGAGCAGCATGGTGGCCACCTGAATGACCCACAGGGCTGGGCTGTGGAGGACGAATCCAGGGTAGGCCAGTCCCAGTCCCAGCCGGAGCCCGCGCCGAGGTGGCACGGAGCCTGGCAGGCCAGGCCTGCACCCGCCCTGAGCAGCCGGGGCTCACAGGCCTGATAAGGAGCTGCGGGCATCCTCACCGCCAGCCACTGCCCTGCTGCTGCTGCGCCACAGACCTGAAACTGGCAGCATGCTTTCACACTATTAACAAAGAGAAGCACCATAAAGGAAGGGAAAATTTGCTGTTAAAACGCATCCCAAATAAAATCTCCCCCGGGGCTGACCACTGGTCAGGACAATGTGATGAGGAGCAGGGAAGGGCAACTCATCACAGTGGGAACCTGAGGAAGAAGACATTGGTCTGCATGGCACAGATGGCTTTGTGCCCTGCAGTGGTCTCTGCAACTATCTGTTGTGTTGGGTTTAAGCCTCAGGGCCTCAGTGTCCCAGAACAGCTTGCCATTGCTACCAGTATCTTCATCAGGGAAAAGAGCATAAAGCAGCCCTTCAGGATACATTTTTGGGGCTTTCACATTGCCTGCATTACCCGTCAAGATTTGACAAGAGCATCCTTTCCCTGACAGCATGTTCCAGAGCGGGTGGCAACAGGCAAACAGCCGTGATCGTGACAAGAATACACACAGTTCAGCACCAACAGACTAAAGTTTTACCTCCTTAGTTGAGTGTGGCCCCTGCACAGGGCCAGGAATGCCCTGTCTGGGCACAGGAATGATCCCAACACCCTGAAGCTAGGAGAAGATATCATGCAGGCAGCTGGTGCCTCACTTTTCACAACCAGTTCTGCTACTTCCATCTCTCTCTGAGGGTTCAACATCTCAAGGCAGGTCATCTCCTTCTTTTTGTAAGCAATTACCAAGCCTTTCATGCATATCCTCATATTTGGAAATTGAATTTGCTAATTTCAGCAAAATATTACATATTGAGAGGTGGCTTCTTCCCCATTCTCCTTGCTGCCTACACAGATGGCTGAAGGCACCAAAGGGCGAGGTGATGATGAGACACAGTAAGCTTATTAATGTCTCACCTTGCCTCTGAATAACTATCACCCAGTCTCATCTTAAAGTTATGGGAAAACCAGGTAAGGGCAAAGGGAAGTCACAGGAACCACTAAGCATTTTCTAAATGTAAATAAGAACTAGTCTGAAACAAGACATATCTCATGGGGTTACAGAGAAGACAGTCAGACCCTTCTCAGTGGTGCACAGCATTAGGATGCAAGGCACTGGTCACAAGCTGCAGCAGGGAAAATCCCAGCCCGACACAAGAAGAAAAGGTCCATACTGAGGATGGCCAAACAGCTCACACAAAGGCTGAAGAATTCCCATCCCTCAATATATTTAAAAATCAGGGCAATGCCCTGAACAACCAGGTCAAACTTTGCAGCTGGCTGTGCTGTGAGCAGGAGGCTGCACTAGGTGACTTCCTGAGGTCCCTTCCTGTGGGAAAGAAGCAACTGCTTCCAACTGCTGTTACTCCGGAATACTTCAAACAAGAACCACTGAAAAACAGTTGTGCATGTAAGGGGAAGGCAATAAATCACCATCCTCTCTTTGTGATAGTATTTCCCTGTCATTTCTGCACTTCCCCTTGTCCTACCTGTGGCCAAATACAAATGAACCACAAAGAAGAAGTGGAGTCAAGCAAGGAGTAATGACTTATCAATACTTTGAAGAAGTCATGGTTGTATAAAACTGTGGAACTAAAATAATTTCAAGTACAAAACCAGTATTTCCTTCCATTTTTGAATCAGACCTGGAAACAACAAATAATTTTGCTCAGTTCAAGATCACATGTCTACCAGTCCCTTCAAGCTTTTTTCCATATTCCATTTAAATTCTTTCAGACTGTTTCCACATTTACAGTAGCCCTTCTGCAGGACTTCTGTTGTTATCTCTCCCCATCTCTCTACCACCGACACAAGTACGGGAGATAGAGCTCTTTAGAGCAATCTAAGTAATGTCATCAGGGCATTTGGTTTGGTCAGCTGCAAATGACAGTCCAGTATTTTACAGACTAAAGTTTCACACAATTCAGATGAGGTGTTTGTCACAAAAAGTCCTGACCTGCTTTCTAAGTTACTACTGGGGTTCAGCAGCTCCACCACTGGTCTGACAGGGCTCCATGCTTCCCACTTGAGAGCTGGCTCTCAGGTGCACAGACCACTGTGTAACTAAGAGAGATTCCACAGAGACCTACCTGCACTACAGCTATGTGGAGTATCCAAAACTTACATATAAATATAAATATAAATATAAATATAAATATAAATATAAATATAAATATAAATATAAATATAAATATAAATATAAATATAAATATAAATATAAATATAAATATAAATATAAATATATGTGTGTGTATATATATATATGTATAAATACATATATACCTACCCTTTATCTGCTTTACAAGTAGAGAAAGATAGAAATTGTTCCTGAGAGTCAGACATGACCACATTGGCATTATGTTGCGACACAGTATGTTTACATATCATGTTTCTTCCATTTAAAAAAAAAAACCAAACATGTTATGGCCATTTAAAAAGCCTAGAATAATTATGAAATGAAACATAGTAATTTCATTTATTGGGAGCTTTTTTCAGTCAAGCTGCAACACACACTGCCAAAGCCTAATTGTTTATATAAGAGCCAAAATTGATATGACACATTCCCACCGAAATGCCACAAACAGTGTAGTAATTTATGCAGAGTTTAGTTACGTGACTGCATTTGCGACTTTGATTTCAGAAACCACAGTCTTCAAATACACTAGGTGCAAAGAGCCCAGGCTGAAGGGAGAAAAAAAATCAAAGGCCTGAGCCCTCCTCCGTTACAGAATGGCAGTTTTAACTCATTGCAGTCAGCAAAAGACACCTCCCGAGCAAGGAAGAGAATCTTTGAGGGCCATCTCTCGAAACTACTTTTTCTGCTTACCCTCTGCATTTCTGTACATCATAAGCAGGCAGCGAACCATGTCATACATGGAATGGTTACTAGTGTAAAAATGGCCAAGACAGATTTCTTTCATTTCTTACAATGGTTGATAAATTTTCTAATTTTATACCAAACTTCAATATACCAAATATACCAAAGTACCATACTACACTGGCAACTTTATTCTCAGAGTCAGATACACCTAACTACCTGTTGACATGTCTAATTACCCGCCAAACTGCCCAAAATTGACATAAACATTAGTTCCATTATGCACTACAACACAGAATGGAAAAGAAATTCACAGGAATGGTCAAACAGACAACAAGTGCCAACGCGATTATTTCTTTTGAAGAGCCGGTGCAGAGTTGGGGCCAAATCTCAAGAGATCAGGAAAATCTATAACCACTGACCACCCGAGCTCAGACAACAAAAAATATTCTATTTCCTGGGAGCTGCAAACACATCGGTACCTTTCCCCATACCCTCTGCAATCACAGGAGGTGGTCGGCTGTTTTGATCAACCACTCCTTACGAGGGGGAAGGCAGCAATGGAGGAAAACCATTGGAGGACTAAACTGAGATTACATCTCTTCCCTAGACATAGCAGCCTTGTCAAGATAAGCCTTCTAAGGATACGTAGTGACTATGTTACTGTTTTAAAATCCTTGGCTTTTTCACCCCAATTAGGAATGAAAAGAGAACTCTTACAGGAGACTCCACATGCACACCTCTGTTCCACACAGAGTCACTGTGCTGCAACAAGTAATAAACTCTAAATGTTGATGCACAAAGACAAGACTGCCTTTCACAGAGCTGCCTGGTACTTCACAACTGATGTACTCTGCATGAAGCCAGTATATATATGCTTTAATCTCCTGCAAACATCTGTGAAACAGACAGTTGCCTAGTAATTTGAGAAGGTTGAACCAGATGTTTCTGGTTCCACAAAACTCCCTCCTTAAGATTTCTCTGTAGCTCTGTCACCACACTGCAACCTTAAAAAATTCCATCTTCTCTCTCAACAACAAAAAAGCTATCTTTTTTTTTTTTTAAACTCACTGGTAAAATTTGCTATTATGGTTTCCCTTGGTAGCTTGTTCCGTGTGTTCCTTTTTGACCATGAGGCATATCTTTTGGAATTCTCAGTTATGGCTTTTAACTTCCAACCTTTCCTGGGTTTAGATAATATCTCCCTCTCTGAGAGGACCTTCTAATTCCACTTTAAGGGGTCCTTTCAAATTTTCAAGTTGCACTTTTTCTGGGTCACACACACCCAGCACCCAGCAAGGGCACAGCACAGGTGAGAACGACAGCACCACTCTCTGTCCAGTCTGTTCTCAACTCTCAGACCATGCCTACAGCTATTCTACTTCCTCCACAGGTTCTGTGGCTTTTTATAGCCAAGGCAGACCTAGAAGAAAAACATTCTGTTGGGGTACCCCAGCAACCAGGGAATGTGGTAACTGGCTTTACGACTCAAAGCAGATTGGTTTTGCTGCTTTGCACATATAAAGTAGTGCAACACATCTCTTGCTTCCATGCAACACCTGCTATATGAATCACCACTCAGATAAATGCTGCTTCAAACGCCAGCCTGGAGAACCAACATGTCCTGCTTGCCTGGTGAAGGTGGTTTTCAAATGAAGGCAGAGCAGCGGTGGAACTGGCTTATTAAAATGCCAAACAAGAACAGCCTTACCGTACGTTTCACATCATTTCCCACATCACCATCTAGCCTGTCATTCTCACCTTTCAGAGGATAATTCCTTTGTTTACACAACAGGCATATTTAGAGGCTAGAAACTTGTGCCAGCAATTTACCAACAGCCCACAGTTTCCAAAAGTGCTAAGGCTGTGGTCCCTGTCAAGCAGTGGAAAGTGTTTAGGTGAATATTTTCTACAGACAGGAGACAAATCATTCAGTTAAGAATAAATCAGCAAAGATCTGCTTAACCAGCAGACTACTAGGGAGCACAGGGCATAAGATGCAACGTCTGCAGTGCCATTCTGTGTGTGGAAGTCATAAACTCAGCTGACATTCCCAAAACCCCTTCCCAGGGATTTGTTCCTAAGGTTTGAGTTAAGCAAGACATTTCCACATGTGGAGAGTCCCATTAACTTCTTTCAAAATGACAGAAATGCCTCTATTACCTAATTCTCTATCAGTAGTTTAAGATCAGACTTGGCCTGTAAAGAGTGAAGGTAGTGAACCCATACATTTGTTCTGAGATGGGTCCAAACAAAACCCTTGTTCCAAACAGTCCTGGACTGCATGATTCGAGTCTAGGAACTATATTTTCCAATTTTGCATTACTTCTTGCTGCTCACCGGATGATTGAGTGCTGTACCTTATTAACCATATTCCAAAACATCCTGTGTGGACTTCAATGTCCACCTGTGCTGGTCCCATATGAAGCACACCAGGCAAGCACTTCCATTTTAGGTACAGAAGTACCCATGAAACAGTTTGTTTTATTCCAAGCGATGTGTTTTGGTGGGGAGAAGAATGATGACCAGGGGTGTGAGGAAGGGTAGACCATTTCCTGTTTTCTTCTTTCAAATATTCGACAGTTGGGCAACTGCGTGACACTTTACAATACCTTATGGAAGGAATGCTGGTCGTTTAGATTACTTTATTACATTATTACTACATTAAAAAAACATTATTCATGCCCTCAAGCTGCATTCACTGAGCTCTCTCTTCCTTTTGAATGATTCATCTATTATAGTATTATTGCTAAAATGGATGTTCAGCATTTACAGATGTGAAATGTGTCTATTTAAATTATACCACCAAAACCTTTCCCACACACTTCCCCACCTCTCCCTCCAGATCACAGGATAAAGGAAGAATTTGCTTACTGGATAAAAAGTAAGCTGCAAAATTCATTCCTTCTCTCACTCCGACACACACAACCACAAAACAGCAATTTTTGTTTATGGGTAAGAGGAAAAAACATCCCTTGGTGCATACCTGTTGGTGTTATACTCTAAACCCCCAACTTCCTTGCTTGCCTGCAAAAGATCAAGAATTCCTGCTGAACTTCCACTTTCTTTCTTTACTTTGGAATTGCGTCCTGGCTTTGCCTCTGTGTCAATGTGAAGCAAATCTTCATCTGACGAGTCATCACTCTGCAAATACAAGTGAAAGGCTCAAAAAAGTGGAAACTCAGAGTTAGTCAACAAGAACAGCACAAAAATTTCTGTAGCCTGCTGCTCCTCCAAAGATACGGAGCTCGCATTCATAATTTGCTTTCATTAAAGAAAAAAATAACAAACATAACCAGGTACACAATTAAAAAAACAGTTTCCTTGCAGCCTGTAGGCATGGTGTGTTTTTCTTTCTTTTTCAAACCCTGGAGAACCAGCTTTGAGATCTGATCCTGCGCATGGCATCAAACCACCCTAACACTGGTGCTTCCAGGTGCTGTGTTGCCTTCTCAGCCCTTGCTCCTCTTCTTGAGGCCACGACCCACGTAGCAAAAGACCTGAATGTGTGGCTACACCTCTGTCAGCCCAGATATGCATCAGGGCACAGGTCTGTATCTTGCAAGACTAGTAACACAGTCAATTCGGACACAGGGACAGACCCACTTCTGCCATCCCAACGGCAAGAGAACAGAAAGATCTGACAGAGGAATGGGACAGACACATATAAACAGAGGCATCTGAGGCCACTGAAGGAAGCTATCTGCATCTAACCATCTTTCTGGGGCTGGTATCTCTATGCACTGTAGTCTAGAGTATAACAGAACAACTTTTTTCCCCGTTCCTGCCCTTCTTTCAGGCCTCTAAAGTCCCAGCCCTTACTGCTTAGACAGTGTTCTCTCCAGGAACTGGCCTCCTGCCGTGAGCTTCTGCAGTGAGATACCAGCATGTTTCTTCCTGTTCTCTGCACCAGTCTCCAGATGTCAACTACTTACTCAGGCAAGGAGGTCTGCACTTGCTCTTGAATATCCCTGAGCCAAACCAGGATGAAAACAATTCCTTAGTTTCTAGGGCCAAACACCCAGAGTCACCCACAGTCCTGTGTTAACAAGCTTCTCATCAGGCCTGATCATGTACAGGCCACAGTACCCAATTTTGCTAGTCCTGGCTATGTCTGAATGGTACCTATTCTGGGCAGGGTGTGACTGCAGAATGAAGGAGAGGATGTGACAGCAGCCTGTCAGAAGGCTTCGCTACTGTCATTACAGTACTGCCCCACATTTTAGAGACATACAAGGGGTGCTTGCTTGGGATGGGTACAATAATAACCATACCTTGTATGATACCGACTCCACCTTTGGCTTCTTAACAGGAGTGTGCTGCAGAGTGTCTTTTTTATCTGATAAAACTGAATTTTAAAAAAATAAAAACAAAGTCATGGTTGTTGTCCCTTCAAAAAATAGCATTCCTAATTTGCTTATATTTGACTGACAGTTAAGACATGGATTTCTTTATAATAAATCACATAGATTTTAAAGACTAGTTTTGGACAATCAACACCTAAGATTTGTCATGCAGATACAGACAAAATAGGAAACATTCTTACAAGGTAGTTCTCTTTTTGTAGTGTTTTTCTTTCTTCTGATTGGAAACTCATCAATTTTTAGTTCACCATCATCTGACACATATTCATATTCATCTCGTACAGGTTTTGTTTTGTCTTCTTTAAAATTCTGCAGTGACCCAAACACACTAGTATTCAGCTGAGTTTTCACTCCCTTTGAACTGAGAAAAAAATTACAAATCAGTAACAACACTGTGACTGGAAAACACTTTGCAAATTGACAGAGAGGAAGATGATGAGTATCCTTACGCAGAAACCTCAAGTCAACTTGAATACTTTCAGAGATGCCACAGCAATATAAATAAATTTTCAAGCACATTTCTGAACCTAATTTATATCTCAAAATATGATGCTGACTAGAGTACCCTTGGCTGGTTTCAAACAAGCACTATAAAGCTGTCTCAATGTATGTCATGATATGCATAATGCAGCATGGAATTTTGGTTCACAGAGTTCATTTAACAGTTTCTTAAAAATGTACCCTGAATAGGATCTGCCCAAAACTCACTTAATATAACTTCACTAGTAAGAACCTGAAGTGCCAAAACATGAAACATTGCCTCAATACCGAAGACACTATTCTCAAGCAAACTACCAGCCTCAAAGATAGGCCTTTGCTGTTATGGCAAATTAAACTGGATTCTAGGTAAAATAAATTCTGCAGTGAAGAACTTTTTCCATCAGTGTATTTTCTACATTGACAAGAAAGGCAGATTTTCACCTCTGTGTATAAAAATCCTATAAATAATGACTTTTTAATCTACTTTTTCAGTTGATGTGTCTTGTCATATTTTTTTACTTACCCAAGCAACTTCTTATTAGAGAAAGAGAATGTAAATTTGTTGTCCTTATTTCCTGGTAAAGGTGTCTTTTCTGATTTGTGTTCCTCTTCCATTTTTAGAAGTGAATCAGGTTTACTGTTCTGAAAGGCAAAAGACCCAAAAAACCCAATAAAATCAGTTAACTGACTTATTGATATTTCAGAATCCTAGGTAACCTCAGAGAATACATTGACCTAAATACATTCTTATTCAAGATATTCAAGAAAAATACATTCCCCCAGATGTAGCAATAGAAGATTATACTCTTCCATAGACTAATGGGGTTTAGTTCAGGGACTTGTCCCCATTCAAGAAGAACTTCAGCACCAGTTTAAACAGTGCCCACCACAAACACAATGCCAAATTTAAATATTAATCTCTTAAAAAGGTGCAGACTGAGGTAAAATACTGAACACACATTTTGTGAATCAGAGCACAGGCTAAGGACACTGCTCATCAGCATCATGCCTGTGTGGCTAAGGAGGGAATCTAGCACAGTGCCTGTAACCTCACAAACACAACTGCATTTTATTCCTAGGCTCCACTTGCTTCTTTCACACCTTCAAAGGAGCTTAAATCATGAATTTAATAATATCAAGAACCTGAATTATGAATTTAATAATATCAAAGTCATCCAGTGCAATGGAAGCCTTCAATTATTTCTTAAGCATCTCCTTAATACTCTCCTAAATTGTACTGGCTGCGGAATTAACTGGTACATATTGATCTAATCACCTAACAGTGGCTTTTTTTAACACAAAAAATTTAGATGTCTCTAATGTTAATGACTCATGATTCCTAGTAGTTTCCCCATGTGAAAAAGCATATACTTCTGTTTTATTTTGGGGAATCTGTTTGCACCTTTGTCATTACAAGTTCACAAAGCAGGCAAGATTCAGACAGATATTTCTATGAGAAAGCCTAGTGTCACCTTGTTTTAAATGGTACCTGGAGAAAAAAATGTATTATTCTATGAATGAATTTTACTCACCCTACATTAGCCTTCCAGGAAGGCAAGCCTGGATTTTAATTCATGTGGCATAATTCATATTTCACTAACTACTTTTATGACATCACTTCTTCAGAACTACCCCAGACTTAAAAGTAGTATGACTATGTTAAAGATCAGCACTGAAAAATCTCGCTATTAACAGTATTTCCACTGGCTTCACCAAGGATGAAGATGGACAATTCAATATATGCTTTTGAAGAATGTGCCCTTCCTCCTTTATCAGTGATAACTTGATTATTTTCTGCTCCAGATTTCTTCTTTGGGAACTGAAAATTGGTGCCTTATACTCTCTGCTTAGGTAGACCTATGAACATTTCTCCACCCTTGATTTATCACTATGTGGCAGAATCGGCAGCAGAATTTAACAGGAGACATTACCTTATATTTCCATTTGGCTTCTGTTTTGCTTTTATTTTGCTCTCGAACTTCAAATTTCTCCACCTCATTCTGCTTACTAGCAGTTTCCTTATTTGGAACACTTAAAACGTTCTTTGCAGCCTGGGGAAAAAGTTAGCATGTACTCTTTATGAGGATGGAGTGCTGGCATGTTACAAAACCACATTTTTCAATCTGGAATATAATATGATATATTTTTGAAAACTCCTCTTCTGATTCATTCTTCTTGAACCCATATATGAGATTCAATTAAATATTGCTGCTTCAGAAAATGCAGAAGACTAGCTGCATTTCCCCTTGATATAGCAACATACAAGAGCAAGTAAAAACATGCAAATCTCCCTGCCTGTTGCTCTATGGACAGGTTTTGCAAACTGCATACAAACTACTAGGGAATTCAAAAGCATTTTAGAAAAGACTTATGGATACTTCTTAACAAAGAGTGTACAATACATTACTCTGTCAGTGCCTCAGTGAAATCCTGGCCCCTACTGAAGTCAGCAGCAAAATTCAGGTCGAATTAAAGGACATCAAAATGAAACTTGTCCTACATGGGCAAAAATGGAAGCAAACTATTGTTCTATCTTCAATAACTCATTCTAGAGCAAAACCTCATGCAAGTAAGATGCTCTAAAACTGAGTTCCTTCATCTTTGATAACAGATAATGGAAATGCACACGAGTGCTAATAACATTTGAAATAAGAATAGAATAGTTCAAGAGGAAAAAAAAGGCATTAAAAAATGTCTTAATTTTCATCTCACCTCAGTTTGGGCAGGCAGTTGGCAGTAGGTTGCCAGACTTGGCTTGAATGAATAGGCTTTGTGGCGGGTCCATATCAAATGAATAACCAAGCAAACAGTCAAATCAAATTGAACAGTCAGGTAAAAAAAGGGCAATAAGCTAGCAGTTACAAAACCTTCATTAACTTCAATGGAGACAGGGTTTCACACTGCGTTGCTTAAATTATTTTTTTCATGAGACCTAAGGAGTGATTTTATCCTTACTATGGCGAGAGAACAGGTAGAAGTTAAGATATGACCCACCTTTCCCTTCTTTGGCGTCTCGATCTTTGTCAAAGCCTCCTTCGTGTGTGCCTCCAGCAAGTCGAGATTCGGGATGGCTGGTGGTGGACTCTCTTTTGCCTTCTTTCCCTTCTTTTTTCCTTCTCCCTTAACTTTCGGTGTTTTGGGAGGCTTAGGGGGTTTGGGTGGCTTGGGAGGTTTGGGAGGTTTGGATGGCTTGAGTTGTTTGGGGGTTTTCACAGGTTTTTTTTTAGGGAGCTTTTCTACAGGTGGGGGTGGAGGTGTCACTTGGACAGGTGATGGTGCCTCCTCCTTATCCACAGGACAGATCTCCTCAGCATTGGTGTTGGCACTCGTGTCTGCTTTGCTGGCCTTCGAAGCATTCTGTAGTTTAGCATGAAATGGGAAGGCATTCAGACCCACCTGTCTCATGTTAGATATTTACCTGCACCCTCCCTTCCCTGGGGAAACAAACTCCAAAGATCCCCCTTCCAATAAAGGGGTAACTGCATTCACAGGTCACGTTGGACAGGGATCAGAGACCACATCACGTGCCACAGTAACCCTCTGCTCACCATTCATTCCCAACTCCACAATGCTCAAGCACAAGTTTGGCCTGGAGAAACTCCAGTGGTTTCATATGGCATGTAACTCTCACCAGGTTATATCATCAGGTAGGTCTGTTAAATGGACTGCCCATAAAAACAAATGTATAAAATGAATGGTCTTTTGTTTAAAATGCTTAGCAGCTTGAGCACAAACCATTTCCATTTAATTCAGATGCGATAAATGCAGCAGAATCATGTTTCATGCTCTCAGGAAAACCAATCAGCAAAATAGCTGCCCACTTAAAAGTAACACTGTCTGACTAATTGAAAATAAATTATTTTCTGCTTAACTTGCCATTCTGACAATCAAAAAACTTACATACTACACCAAAGAGGGTAAAAGGAACAAATTTCTGTTTTGAAGTCTCTGGGGGAATGTAACACAACATCATCTTAAAGCAACTGAACTAGCTATTGTCACCTTGCACTGTCACACATCTCCACTAAGTGGAATATGATACCAGACAACGGATAACACATCCATGCAACCTCCTTTTTGGGGTTTTTTTTGAGTTGGTTTCTTTTGGGGGGGGAATGTGTGCATTATAATTATTATTGCACTTAATTATTACTGCCTAGAAACCAGCCAAAAGCAAGGCTTCCTCTTGGGACAGTGTACAGAATAATAGTCCCAAGCTCAGACACTGTCATAGACAAGACTGATGAACATGAGGAAAAGGAGATACTAGGTAGGGACCATGATCATGGGGATCCCAACAGCATTCTTTAAGTTCTATCATATTTTTGGGTAGGGAGTAGCTAAAGAGAAAGAGAGAAAAATGATGGAGATGGGAGGGTGGCCAGTTCAGCTAGGAGAAGGTGGAGGACAAAGGAGGTAGGACAGGCAGACACAGCATAAAGCGGAGGAGAAAGCAAACAGGAGCCCAGAACATGTGATGAGTCAGCCACAGACAAGAGTCCTGAGCAGTGACCCTACTGCAAAATTTCACATAAATTCTTTGAATTAAGAGTGGAAAAACAAGATTAATTTATTTCAATTCATCCATTTTATAACCTAGATTATTAAAAGACCCACAGTATAGTTAATATTATCAAAAGAGCACAAACCTCACTTAATCTTATTTCTTTGGCAAGGTCCTTGATAAGTTGTGCTGGTTTGAAGTTTTCTGGTAGTTCATCTTCATGCTCCGCTAAAGCCTAAAACACAGCAAAGCCAGACTGCTACTTATGTGCATGTTTTTTACAAAAATATAAAGAACCACATTATGTGACAGATCCATATTTTTCCTATGTAGCAAAATCAGTAGTCCAAATAAGGAAAAAATATGCTTTTTCCCTCTTTTTGATGTTATTGTAAATAGTTGTCCTGAGAGAACAACAAAGTCAATAGTCGTTTTCAGATATTATTGCATTTTCACAACTGTAACACAACTTTTCTCACCCCCTTATATGAGATTCTGTGAGAAATTTATTTTCTACATCTACAAGGAGAGATGGTCTTAAACTGGTGTCTTCTGTGAGTATAACAGGCACATACCTTGTCAGCATAGCGGTTTAGGAGCTCCCTGACAGGACGAACAACATTTGCATTCACATGTCATGTTATAATATTCAGAGTTCAACTTTACCTAAATGCCAACACACTCTGACTTCCTTTGAATCACTACTTCTCATCTGCATGGCAAGTGGAAAAATAAACAGGGTGACATGGAGAAGAGAGCTTCGATACCAGTCAGTCCTTCTATAGGAAACCAGGGAGCAAGTCTGAATTTAGGCTCAAGCACTGTCTTTTTGCAGTAGGGAGCAGCCAAGTCCCTGACTACATTTAAATCTGGGACAACCACCCAACTGCTTATGCAACATTGTGTCCTGAGTTCCTTATCCCTTCTTAAAGTGTCAGAAGTTTCCCTGTTCATGTTTTATGATTGAATGGCCTGTCTCCTGCAGCTAATTCCCCAAAACTTTAGGAGCAACACAAGCAAGAATAACACTTCGGAGATGACTGCAGCAGGAAATTCAGGCTGCAAATCCCTTTAAGCCTGCTCTCCAACCAACATGTATTTCCTAGCTCAATTAATGTGTTGTTTTGCAGGAACTGGGCACCCTGTAGACACAAAAATGCAGGCATTATTCTAGGCCTCGCTCACCTCTGCTTAACTGATTTGGCACATGAAAATGCTCAGTGTCAGGGAAAACATCCATTCAGTATCCTTTTGGCCATGATCAGAATTTACTTTTTTTAAACTCTGGTGGTAGTTTTTTTGTGCTGACTCCTCATGTGGCACTACAAAATCCCAGCTATTGACCTCCTTCTGCATTCTCCCAGTCCCTTCTCTTTGGGATTTTATAATTAGATGGATTGCTATGGAGATATTATTTGTTCTGGCATTTGTTCTCTGTTCCAGTTACTGACAAATACATAATATTAAAACAGGCTGCTTCTCCTACCTGTTTTTTAGTCCATGACCTGAAAGCACCATTGAGAATTTTTGCTCCTTGGAGTAAATGAGCAGGAGGTTGTTGCCCAGCTTTATGCAAACCTAAGTAGAGGAAAAAAACAATGCCATTCAAACATGGATAGCTGAAGTTGTTTTAAATAAAGTCTTTAATTTGAAAAAGTTTAACTGTGAAAGTTAAGTCTTTGAAAGTTGGTCACCACAAATGATTCCCTATTATAACTTGATGGTAATAAGGAGTATATTTACTGTATCATAAATCCAATTCAACCTTCCTACACTGTGGTCCTGTAAGTTATGTCTACACTTGCAATCCTTCCAGTTCCTTTCTTGGTCCCATACTCAAGCTAATTTCCATGTTCATACATGTGGGCTGTGGGAATAGAAAGGTACCATCAGCGGTTCTTTTATTCTGATTAGAAAAGCAAGTACCAATACACGGAAGCAAAGGTTATATTGGGCCAAGTGTTTCACTTCTCATGAGTACAAGCTTGCCTAAACTTTTCCCCTCATTACAGTTTTTGTTGAGAGTTGGTCACAAGGGGGCCCCTTCCAGGCAACATTCAGAGAGACCCCTCACCTCGTTTATTAATTAGATGCATTTTTCTCATTACAAAAGTATCTGGTGGGTGTCTCTCAGACACATTCTGTAGTAAAAGAAATAGAGGTAAAGAGTAAAGCAAGCCCGAACCTGTAAAAAACATACACGCATGGATGTTTGGATCAGCTCTGAACAAATATGATTTGGAAGAATTTGAATTTCACAGAAAATTTTGCTTTAATTCTCAGTGCCTGTGAGGCAACTTAAATACGTTTTATGAGGAAGATGAAACCTTCCCTTAGGCACAGGTAAGAGGGACAGTTAAGGTCCTTCCTAGAGTGAGATGGCAGGATATTAAGGAGAGGAGAGCTGGACCAGACCAGTATATTCTGCTGGTATGTTAGTAGTTTTCAAATACTAACAAGACTGATTTTGGCCACCTCTCCATCTTCTCTGTGGCACATCAGCAGAAATTAAGAGTAACTACCTTCAGGTCCCCAAAGCTAAGCAATTAAGGCAGGCAAAGAAATGCAGTTTTACCTTTGAAAGTCTCTAGTAGATGCTTTCCCATATACCAACATGCAGTTTCAAAGTTTGGAAACTGGGTCAGACTGACAATTTTCAATCGTCTTTCTACTTCATATGCCCTGCAATACAAAATCCACATGAACTTAAACACAGCAGGTCACAACTATGTTGTGCACTGCTCATAAATGCCCGAGGTTCATTTTGCAGTGCTTCCTTTCTTTGTGCTGCTACCATGTTTTCTGGCATCAGACCAGAAGCAAAACATAACATTAATACTATAATAGTAAGAAACCGTGTGATAGAGATGTAAGATAGCTTTATTGTATTATTTGTCCCACATCAGTAACAAACTACTTGTATTGTCTTATACTGGGCAAAGAGCCCAGCTGAGCAGGTGGGGGCTTTATCCAGAAGGCGAATGGCATGTTCTAGGGTAAAATTCCTGACAGTTTTAAATGGTTCTTCCTTCAGGACCTGGCCACATCAATCCAAGCACCTGACAGATCCTTCCATATGCTATGCAATAGGTGTAAAAACAGCTTGAGTTATTACTCAGCATAGGAGAACACAGTTGAAGGGGACAAATTGGGTGCACTTTCCAAAATTGCCCAGTAGCACTACATCAACATTACTGCAAATGTAGGGTAATTAATAGGAGAGAGGATGGCAAATTTATTAAAAACTGAGCCTCTACCTAACTTTAGATTTTAAAGACAGATTACCTCATCTGCATTTCAACACTTAGACTATGTAGAAAATGTCCTGCAAAGGCCAGGCAGTCTACAGGTGTCAGAGTTGCATAAATCCAACCTAAAAGAGAAAGAGAAGAGTCCTAAGGATAAAAACGGAAATGACAATAACAAAGACTTTATTCACAACATGATGTTTATACTTCGCTTAGCAATTTGCTTCCTAGGTACCAATAGAGCTCTTCAGTCTAAGTCAGCACCAGAATTTCATATGCTTTGAACAAAGTTGCATCTGGCCCCTCATTTGTTTTGCCTGATAAAGGCCCAGCCCAGGAAGGTGCTATGCACCTTTGACTCCCAGTCCCAGGACCACCTCCAACCGTGGTAGATAGTGAAAGGGGTCATGCTGCTCACACTGGCGTTTCTTCTTACTGTGAAAAGCAGCAGCAGCTACATAATGGTAGCTGCTTTCACATCACCATAAACATTTGTGACTGTCTTTATTATAGTGTCAGGAACAGGTGTTTTCCAAACATCTATTTTCATACAAAAATCTACTCAAATCAGTGAATCTCTATAAATTGCTTGGTGTTTAATCCACCATCTGCTCCACATATGGTCATGAGAGAAATACCTACTTTCCACTTTTACAGTAAAAGTAAAAATCAAGTGTTTAAACATTCTGTGCAAGAATATACTCACACACAGAAAAATGGCACTACTGGATGCTGCCTCCAAAACACAAGGACCAGCCCTGTCTAGAAGCCTCAACTCAGGTTATGGATTGAGTGAGCAGTGCATTGTTTAAAGGCACATAGAGGGAGAGAAAATCCCTGTCCCAAAGAGATTACAGTTTCAACAGGTAACAGGGAGTGCTGGAAACAGAATTTTTCATGGTGAGAGGAAGGTTAGGAACAGAGGCATTCACTTAAAACTCTGCACTATCTTCTAATCAGCTCCCTGTCCTCACAAAGATCCTCCAAGGAACTGAGAAAAACAAGATCCACCATTTCTAACCTGCATGGAAAGCCTGAGTCTATCAAGTAACCCATAAAAGTCTGTGACACGCAGGTCTTCAACCTCATGTGAAACTATAAATGCACACTCACACATGTGCAGGCACCTATAGTTCCTTAGTGCCACTGGGAATCAATGACTGTGATGTGGAGTCATGGTCAGAAAGTAATTCAACGTGAATCCTCTGATAGATGGCAAAAAGCACCAATGTCATGGCTGGATACAGAGGGAGAACTCATAAGCTACTGCAACCCAGATAGACAAAGAGTGGAACACTGTAGCTACAAGCTGTATTTTTAAAAGGCTGCAAGAATATCGATAGAAAGCAGTAAAAGTTCTGATTTTTTTAATGTAAGCATATGAAATTATACTTCTAATGAGAATTAGACTTCATACTTTGCCAGAGAAAATCATCAAATCACATCCTCTAGCGTTTTGGACATGCTATTTCAGCAGCTCTAAAACAAGCAGGGAAACTCACCTGATGATGCCTGCTCACCTGATGGAATGAAGAGTGTCTGTCCTTGTTTAATGGTGCATTTGTAACATTTATCTACTTGGTCTGCAAAAAACATCTCACTGTGGTTTGCTGCTGATTGCCAGCGTTCATAAAGAGAAATATTTGCAGAGGCTGGTTTGATGAGATAAAATATCTTTTCTCCCTGAATTAGAAAATATAAAATTAGCAACAAGCAGCCAAACCAAACAATGTTGCGCTGGCACAGATACACACACAAATATTTATCTAAGTATATATATAACATTACGCATTTTAACACTCTTTAAATAAAATTTAGTCGTCAGCTTTGTACAGAACGGCTGAAATAATTAAATCACTGGCTGACCACATTTGCTCAGATTTGTGGGACTGGTGGTGCAAAAAGTTTACAGCTCCAGGTTCCACTGCCCTGCAAAAGTGAGATGTAATTTCCTTCGGGCCTTAGGTGACATTATGTGCAGAAGGCACTAATCAAACACTAAAATCCTAATACAGTGAAAATACACAGACAACTTCTGCACTCCAAGTGGCTTCCTCACTCAGCAGACCCTGTTGCTGCTGAGAGCGTACCCACTCACAGCAGTTATGGCTCTGCATATTACTTATGGATACAACAGGACAATGGAGAATAAAACGGAGGCCTGAATTTTTGAGAGAATTTTAGGATGGTCTTTGCATATAAAATTTAGTTTGTTACAAGATACACTGCAAAAGCATGACCCCTCACCTTCAGCACGTGGTACCATGCAGAAGCTCCTCCCGAATCTATGTGGAAATCTGTGTAGCTGTCCTTCACACAGATCAGGCAGTACTTCGTAACTTTTGGTTTAGCCAAAAGAGCATCGTCAGGCCAATAGTTTTCCACCCAGGACAACTTCTTAACTATATCTGGAGGCTCTACAAAACTGGACATCCTTTACAGAGAGAATTGAAAACAAACATGCATCTTTTTTAAAAAGAGCACAAGGACCCTGATAGAACAAAAAGCAGAGTGTGTCTCTAAGGCTTGGATGGCAATCTAAAGTGGCTCCTTATGTGCCGGTGGAAAATTTGTGAAAACTGTTGACAGACAGAGATTTAAGGCTTTTTAAGTGTGGTGACTTAGCAACAATACTTTGACTTCTTTCAAGCAGAAGTATTTATGATCAAGTATCTGCTGTTTGTATGCTTCCAGTCCCTGCCTCTTGCTATGGATGCTCAGTTATCAGTAGCTATGGATGCTCAGTTATCAGTAGCACTGTTATCACAGTCCCTCTTCCAGCCCCCTTCAGAAGAGAAATGTGTGCACTCTTACATAAATGGTCTGGTAAATCTTAAAAAGTTGCAAGTTAAGCTGAATATTAAAAATCTTAATAACAATAACACTAATATTTAAGAATTAAATAAGTCTTGATCTGATGCTGAAAATCACAGTAATATTTTTATTTAGATGGACTAAATTACATTAAAAGCTTAGAAGGAAAAAGTCTAATTTGGGCTGATAATGTGAATATATTTAAAATATATATAATATTTATTTATATAATTTATACAAATGGATAGATTTACATTGAGAATATACTGGGATATGTTTATTCATAGAATTATTATGTTTATATTACATATATAATATATACTATAAATCACAGCTAAGACTGCAGTGGCATGATAAACAGGTATTAGAAGTGTTTCATCCCAAAGTGTGCTAAATTTTGTATTAATATAGTCCAAAATTTGGACTAACATTTGCAGGGGATGGAGGTTCACTGTTGGATGCCCTAAAATATCACGTCAGTAAGAGCATCTGCACTTCAAACTAAAATTAAATGCTCCCATGTGTCATTTATGCTCACTGTCAAACACTGATAACAATAACTCCATTTAAAATGGCAGGGGAGGATGAAGCAGTGCATTCAATTGAAGTGTCACTGTCTATGTTAAGAAATAAAATATTTGCTAGTTAATGTCTAAATTAGCAGCATATGAGTGACAGCTCCAGCAGTCCTTCAGAACAAAAGACCTCCCGTTATTCTGGGATAATGGCAGAAAGCTAGAAAAATCTCAACTGGAGATACTGGTAATCTTTGAAGCCTGTAATTACTAGAGATGCTTTCTGCAGAAATGGGTGTGCACTACTAAAACACTAACTATAGGGCTAAAGGTAATGGCTTTAAAAAACAAGCTTGTAATTATTCATCAGCCTTCTTTTTTAAGGCTACTTTAAGTCTTCTCACTAAAATGGAATGCTCCCCAAAACAACCATTCTTTGTTTTTATGTTGACACTCATCTTCTTCTGTGTAGTGTTTGTATATAAAGGAATCTTTTCCTCCTCTGATGCTTTCCTTCTAGAAAAGTACTGGCTACCCAGAAGGACTGCAAGCACTGTAAAAAAGATCTGCACAGTTGCATGAAGTTCATTACATTACAGATGCATCTGTCTACTTCTGGAATAAAAGCACAGCTCAGGTGATGAACACAGTTTTTAAAGCACAAAGCAATAACTTAAAACTATTAAGCATTTACATCAGCTAATTATCCTACATATAAAACATATAACATGAGAAGAATAGCAGGGTCCCTGTCATTGAGGACTGAAGATATTCACATAGCCAGCACCATTACCTCTGGCTCACCACATCACTAAAGCACCTCAGCCTCACCTTCAGAGTTGATCTGTACCATCACACCTGGTAAGGTGTGATACCAGCTCCTGGTAAGGAGAATGCAGGAGGAGGGGCTGGTTAGCAGACTATCTAAAGAGATAAAGGGACTATGAAACACAGATACACTGGAGCTGGAGTCACGGCTCCAGGAAGTCAGCATCACTCTAGTTCTGAACTGCTGTCATACAGATTAGAGGTTAACTCGCAAAGGCACTAAAACTAAAACTCTAACACATGGTATAGGATTACAAAATTATAATAATTTCAACCTTTTTCTCATTCAAGGCCACCCAGTGATGTTGCGCTACACCTAAAGCCACACCTCATGTATTTACTCACTCTCTGTTACTTTAAATAGCAGATTCAGTAAGCAATATATGCACTCAAACCAGCGCTATGCAAGTAGGATACTCACTGCTGTACAATGAATTTTGAAAAAGAATGCTCCAAGAAGATCACCATGTTTCAAGATCACCTTAAGTTGGAAGAAGGGCTGTTGTTGCCTTATACCCATCAGGATTCCCATCTCACCAGAAAAATAACAGGATATTAAAAAGCAAGACCCTTTAAGTCCATGTTGTCCCATATACAGTGTTATCATACCTCTGTGGCCATCCCTGTCCTCCTTTCTTTGGTCTTACTGGTATTTATGAAGTTATCTAAGCACCTAAGATCATACCAGGAACATACTATGTTATCATTCACTACCAGGACGAGGCAGAGAATTCGCTCCTGGAGCATCAAGTTATGTTCTAGTATATAGTTGTACTGAATTAACTATACCTATACTACAAGAGTTAAAATAAAACTGAAAGGTACCAAAATGTTCTGTTCTGATATGCAAATGCTGATGGCACATGAATGCTGATGATATGCAGGCATGAATTACCATGACAAACGCCAGCCCTTTTAGTCCGCTGTGTACTGTTCTCCTCATATAGCAGTGAGCACTTTAATTTCCGTGCTTTGCCTGAACTAGCTGTATGCACGATACAGCTGGAGGTCAGAGCAACAAGAACCTGCTATCCCAGGGTTAAACAGCACTTAGTAAAGAAGAAACCACCAGAAGAGGCAGTGGCTGTTTAAACTCCCCCAGCTAAAGCCAGCCATATCCCATGGCCACGTACTGCACAGCGCAGCAGGCCAGACTCTTACCTTGTGTCTGAGAACTCCAGGTTGGTCACATTGAGGACCCTTTTCCTGTTTGTGCTGTAGTAGTAATCCACAAATTCCTTCAGCTTCATCTTGCAGTCTTTCTGTTTGGTGACATCAGTGACATCAACACTCCTCTCTGGTCCTACAGATTAATTCAATGAAAAAGAGAGTTTGAAGGGCAGCCCGACTTGCCCCATTTTGTGTCCTTGGGGATGAGCTAATATTTCAAGAAACATCTCAATCTTTTGATTTTCTGATCTTCTTAGCCTTTGTATCTTCCCTGTTGTTTATGTATATATATACATAGACATATATGCATAAAAGACGTGTATATACATAAAATGTATATGCATAATATGGTGCTTTTGTATTCATGCCCCTGACATTATTTCTGTAAAGGATTAATATTAATTTGCATCTATTAATTTCATTGTTTTATTTGCCTGGTGAAAATTATACGCAAACACCTTTATATACACAGAATAAGTCCTACCCACAATGTTGTAAAAGTCTTGTGATTGCAGACAGAGTGTAATACCATGTTACAGGATACCGTCTTAAACTGATTTTCCAAACCTGTAAGTTCTCTTATGCTCTGTTTTAAATTTTCGCATACAAAATCTATAATCGAGGAGGAGTTTTGCAGGAAAATTCAAATTTTTTAACATCATATTTCAGGTGTGCCAGAAGAAATGACTTTTTGTTATTTTATCCAAAAATACACATATCAAAAATCCATCCCCTCTGCATTAGAGTACAAAGGATAATCTGCTAGTACATTTCCTCTGACAGACAGTGTTGGATGCAAATCTCCAGTGTTAATACTAAAAGAGTTAGTCAAGTAGTTGAATTTTACAATGGGCAAACCAGAGAACACATCAAGAAAGTCAGAGCTTTATAAAGAGTGGCCATTTCTAAGTGCACTCTCTTATCCTTTCCGCAAGAAAAACATCTCTCCAGTCTTTCTTCCTTTCAATTTTAATTGGCTGTATTTTTCCTCTCCCAGTGTTTCATTGATAGTTTTTTTCACATTAGGAGAGGGAAAAAAATCAATTTGTTTTTTCATGAAATGCTAGAACAATAATGATGTATTTGGCAGTCTTATTTGTGGTGTTTTGTCATCTGCTACTTACTTTAGGTTGTTTCTAAAAGACATTCAAGGTCCAATAAACTACAAAACAGTGAGATAAACCCCTGTCTGGGAAATCCTGTTCAAGCGAACTAACTCCATGGAAGTTAGACCAGCATGTATTTGTGCTGTTCACTTTCAAATTTGGTGCCAGCCTCAGATTAAACAACCTGTGTTCTTCTCTCCAGCTTTTTACTAACAGTTCTGTTAGTAGGGTGGATTATTTCAGCTAGAGGCTGAGAGAAAGCCAGCAGATGCATAAGGAGCACCTAGGTCATACAGGAAATCTGCTAAGTGTAGCAGATGGGCAAGGAAAATATGTTTCCTGTAGAAGCAACGGGACAGAGATAACACTAAAATCAGGGGTCTGATTTCTCCTTTATTCATAGTTATCTCACTGCACACGATCACTGCAAAAGCAATAGATACAGCCTAGAGCAGCAGCGGTTGATGACAGCACCCTCCAGTTTGGGAGAGCGTAGGAGGAGGGGGTGGTTAGCAGAATGTCTGAGGAGATAAAGGGACCCTGAAACATAGACAGAGACACTGGAGCTGGAGTGATGGCTCCCAAAGGATGACGCCTTGCCTGCAAGACAGAGAATCGGACAGAAAGTGACAGAGAGGAGAGACAAAGGGAGAGGGGACAAGATCACACATGCTAAAGGAAGGAGGATGCGGAGACAAGTGACTTCTGAGCACTTCTATGGCTCCTGGCCAAGGCATGTCAAAGTGAGAGAATATCATGATTTGTGAGAAGCTGCAGTACAATACTCTGCTCAGGTTAGAGACAGGAAGATGCCAAAATGAATTCAAATGGTCAGCAGCCACAAAAATATCTCTCACTGACACCAGTGTTAAAAAATGAACTGCCTTTGCAAAGTGGGAGTCTCAGTCCAGTTATTCCTTCAATACAAAAAGCGAGATGGCAGTAATCATTTAAGACCTGGCCTGAAGAAACTATTTCTTGATATGACTATGATTGTTTCTTTTAATGCAATGCTATGGAGTACAATGCAGTCTGGCTCAGGCTCACTGTCAAGTTGGTACAAGAATCGGGAGTGAATTAATTGCTAATTACAAGCTACCACTACATAACAAATACTGAAATCAGCATAGCTCAAGACACAGACAATATTTTAAAATATATTTTACAATTTTTTAATACAAATAATATATGTATTTTTTATAAAAAGCAGCTAAGCTCCAAATGGTACAAAGCCACCTGTTTGCCAGATACACACCAACGTAGTTTTCAACATCGCTGACGTAGAAGGTGGGTGCAGGAACGGACAAACCCAGGCCATCCTTCTTTGGGACGAGGATGGGCTCCACAAAACCATTTTCTTCCAAATACTCTGTTGTTAGCTGGCTGCCTGGCACTTTCACAACTATATCTTCAGCACTGAAAGAGTAAACACAGATTCAATGGTGAGGTGCTTCCACACAGAGTTTGGTGTATTCTACATTTCACTAATGAAAGGAAAAGTTATGAATAAACAATTATATGCAAAATAGGCGCATAAGACAAAAGCCAGAAAATCATTTATTGCAAAACATGCAGGGCACACTAAAATTGTCCATAATCAATTAGCTCAAGCCTCACACACCAACTACTGGAAACTCCTACAATAACAGCTTATGGGTGAAAGACTGTTTTCCTTGACTATAGGGATCTGTTGAGTTACCAGTGATCAATGCTAAAGAAATTAGTGTAAATGTTCCACTCTAAAGAAGGCAAGATTAGAAATGTTACATAATCTCAAATAAATTGCCCCGGAAGTAGTCAAATAAATGGCTTGGGAAATATTTTCCAAATAATTTTCAAGTCACCAGGAGGGCTTCAAGGGGACTAAGGAAAGGGCAGCTTCATCAGGTGACCAGCTATTTGCACTGACAACTCTCAAAGTAAACTCAAGTCCAATTTCTAGATCTTTTCAAGTGTAAAACACTTTGAATTTGAGTGAAAAGTGACTGTATATGAAAGGTCATCCGTCTCAAAAGTGCTCTGCTGCCGTGTGCTGCTTGTCAGCTGGGCTCCAAAATCCATCTGGCAGGCCAGGGCCGCAGCTGCTGGTGGGGGGAATGGCAAAATTTGGGTGTTCACCCCAAAAAGCACTGCCTCCCTGGGCAGGTAAGACTAATACATGACTGCCCTCTCCTGCAGAAGTTCTGAACTACAACTCACGTCTTCATAACGGCACCAAAAACCGTAGGGAAAGCGGCAGAAGCTGCGAGTGCCGCCATGGCAGCTGGCACGCTCCTGCCTCACTGCCTTGGCCACCCCATGAAGCCCAACCTGCAGCAGAGCCCCTGACACCCTTTAGCTGTGGGGCCTCCCCCACACCCTTTTCAGGGGGTCTCCTCATTCGACCCCACCAGGCAGGGGGAACCCCCCACCCTGGACCTTCTCAGGCTGCCCCAATGGAGTTTGAATCCTGAAGAACAAGCTGACCGGACGCAAACAGGGAGAAGCTGCAGAGACACAGCTATTTCTGGATGACCCCAGCCACAGTGGGGCTGATCAGGAGGCAAATTTAATTAATTATCAATTAAAAGAAGCATTCTTCATTTATATGAGCACTGGTTCCATACACCAGCAACGTGCAAAGAATTTGGCTGGAGATTTTAAGGAGCAAGAAGCAAACCATGATTTACCACTAAACCTCTGCATATACTTTACAGTGCCCATATATATCTCACATACTTGCTCAAGTCTGATTTGCTTCTATATGTGCCATAGAAACTTACGCTTAGTCGTAAAGAGAGAGATCAGTACCAGAGCATCTAGTATTGATAGTGCCAAAATGGAGAGTCTGGCACCTACACTGAAGTACACAAGCCATCAATTCTACTATTTCTACTACTATTAGAAATAGTTGTAGAATGCTATTGTGGCATTAAACATTCAGGAGCGGAATGACATGAATTATATTTTTTGCCTTTTTGCTCTCTTCACTGTTCCTTTTGATCTGAGCCTCACCAAGAGACTAACCATGGGTTATAATTTACTGCCATGTGCTGTGAATCAGCAATGATGTTTCTGTCTCTGAACTAAGCCCCCCTTTTTTCATTCATCACTTTCTGCCTGACGAGTTTGGGTTTTGTTCTGTGAACATCTGCAGATTTCATTAATCTCAGAAGAGAAAATTTCCCAACAAGACTTTGTTTTACTAATGGCACAAGTGTAGATGTCTGAGGCCTGAATCTTGCAGGCATTCCGTTTTGTCTACAGACTCTTCTTTCTCAGAAACTTTAATTTGGCAGCAGGATTTTCTTATGTGCACATTTACATGAGAAACAAACTAACATGGGGAACCATATTTTTTTTACAGTTTGGGAGTAACTCAAGAGATATTGCATATGTGAGTGCAATCTCAGAGGCCATCCAAGGTTACTGAAATCAATCTGCCTAAGCCTTAAACCTTTTTTTAAGAAATTAGCTTTACAACCTGAAAAAAAAAAAAAAAAAAAAAAAGGCTAAGACAAAAATCTAGCAGGCCCAAGTAAACTAGCCAGGCAAGTAAAACTACCGGATCCTGAGTTCAGTGAAAGACAAACACTTTGCAAAGGTATTTTCATCCTTTTCCTTAACCAGCCTAAGACCAGTATCTGAAATTAAATGTGCGATTAAATTATCTGTAAAAAGGAATAAGTTTTGTGTTTACCAAGTACCCTTTACCAGTCTCCACAGATTCTTTTAAAATAATTAGTCATTAATAATTAAGGATTTATTTGACTAAGGCCTACATTAAAGAACCTGAAGAAAATCATCACTCTTACAAATGGCTGTGAAGCAGCCTAATAAAGTGTGGAACATGTCACCTAACAATTAGCACTATTCATTACCCCAAATAAGAGAGCCTTTGTCACTGTAGCAACTGAGGATGTCATTGTTCTTCTTTTTAAGATGGAGACAGACTTCAGCAAAACCATTAGTATTTTTGAGTACTGGATAATTCTATGCAACAAATTGGTTAGTTTCTTATGCAAGCGAATGTTGTAGGTGTCAAACACGTTCTTGTTCTTGTCTTCACAAATACTAGCTTCTATGGAAATCCACAGGAACTGGGCTCAATCAAGAGTAGATTTGAATATGGCTACACAAATATAAAAAAGGGAAGAGCCTGGGACATCTGTAATAAAACAGTGTTCATTTAAACTTCAAACTTCTGTACTATATAATACTTTCAGCAAGGATCATCATCAGCTTCATAGGAAACTGGCTGCATATGCTTTACCTCAGTGGTCCTGGCCACGTGTGCAGCTGAACAACCTACCTTGGAAAAGTACGACTTCGAAGTTCTTTTATAAAGACTTGGCTCCCGTTCTGTACAGGCTTGACCTCTGTCGTCTGTCCAGTATCGTGTTTATGCCAATTTCTTTTCTTTTTCACTGAAAAAGAATGAATTGGACAGTACCATACATTAAGTAGAAGATAATTATTAAGACATGTGAAGAAATTACAAATCTTCATTTCATTTGCTATGTAAGCAGAAAAGAGGGAACCCCCACTATATTGCACTGCAGATTTTAATATTGCTCTCAATTCACCATTAGACAATTATACTGCAGCTTGAAGATCTATTACATACTGAACAGTGTTCGTTTTGTAACATAAGGACAACCAGACAGATAATTACTGAGCTGCACAGCTACCACGGGCTTTATGCAAACAAAGGCTCTGGACATTTTGTACTCAACAGACTACACAGTCCTTGTCACAAAACTCTCAGAAAGCCACTTTTTTGCCGTCTCAATATGCAGTATAGATCTTTATGAACATATTTGTCATGAATTACCTTAGTCTAAAGGGCTGTCCAGCAGTGGCAGATTTGACATCAATTTTGATGGGCTTTGAATGATGCCCTGCAATACCACATGCACATAAAAGGAAAAAGAAAAGGGGGAAAAAAAATAAAAGAGAGAGATGCAAGGGCACCACAAATGCAATTTTTAGAACTCCTCTTATTCCTAGATTTTGAAAGACAAGCCAGGCCTAGGTCTTCAGTTGATGACAGCACAGTGAAGGCCCCTCGACTGTTCTCCCAGTGGGAGACAGACATATAGGCAAGCTCATAATGGAAAAAGGGTCAGCTGAAATAAGAACAAATAAGTAAGTCAAATGTCAATGTAGTTCTGCCTTGCCTCTGACAGCCAGATAACGCAGAGCAAGAAAAACTGGTCCAGCTTTTTCTCTTAGTCAGCACTATCTTTCTCAGCTGTTCCTACAGTCTGTCTGGGCATGCTCATTCTGGTAGTAAATTGTTTTTTGTCCCAAGTGTATATTTGTATCATTTCAAGCCTCTTGTGAGGCCTCTTGATGTACAATTTTTGTACATCACAACTCACTTTTATTTTTCACCCTTGTTTTCATCATGAAACTCAGTATTCTACCCCAAAATCAAGATCCCATATGCTTTTCTTACTGTCTAAAACATCTGGGGAAGGACTCAGACTCCTCAGTAACCATGCATGGATGGCACTCTTTCCTTGCGCTTTGCACATGCCCACACACACAGATCAACATACTTTATCATTAAGAAAGGAATCTGGAGGCCACAGCTATAAGACACGAAGTTTGGAAAAAGCTAACTTTGTTTTCCCCACCACAATCCTAGAATAACTCAAGTAAAGACATCTCCCAATGAATCCATCCCAGGTTTTGCATAAAGCATGTTGGTTTTATTAGTTCCATGCAGCTCTCTAGCCTAGCTGGATATATTCATTAAAGCTGCTAGTTCTTTATCTTAATGACTCTCAGGCTTAGCGTATTAATTCAGTGCTCCTGGTAACAAAGGAAACAAGCCCTACATGAATGCCAAACCTTCCTCCTCTCCTTCCCTTTCCAGTGACTGCCTCTTCCCCCACTCAGCAGATCTGAACCAACACAGGGACTCTCAGCACAAGTCCCAGTGAAACAGGTGTCACTTGACACAGTGAAAATTAAAGAGCTTATCATATTAGCGTGTTCTTTTATTACACTTCGGATAGCACGGATTATCGAGAAATAAAAGCAGCAAATTAGTGCTGAATCAAGAAATTCTCCGCAACTCTTCAAAAAGCACCGGGGAGCCATTTCCCAGAGCACCGAGCTCTGGCAAGCATCCATCTCTCACATCCACCTCTCACGAAGAGGCAACAAAGATGCCTCTGCCGCCAGAACGCTCCCCAGGAGGTGCTGTCTCCTGGATGGCAACAAGACGCTGCTCTAGTCTACTATACTACATCAAACAATCGACATTTAGCCCATTTTCAGCCATTCTCTTTATGTTTCATCTTTACCATGAACACCACAGTGAGAATTAAAGGCCCACTAACATGTGCAACAAATACTAGCTTTGGCCAGAGAGGCCACTTTTTCTTAAATCATTACACATTCCTTTTTCTGCAGAACTTTCTGATCCAAATTTGACCTTTGGAAAGTATAACCCCCTCCTACAAAAACACTCCAGAGGAAAAAGGGAATATATATTTTATGAAAATTGTATCTCAAAATGAATAATTATGTCAAATGTATTTATGAAGAAGAGATACCTAGAAGCACCCTATTAGTTTTCTATGAATTATATCAAAGGCTGTAAGTACTTAAAAAGTTTCAGCCTGACTTTGGTTTGCTTGCAATATGTAACCACCAATTCCAAAGAATTTCTCCTGATTTTCACTGCCGCAAAGGACACAGCAATCAAACTGAACATTTCAGATGGTGTTATGAAAATGAGTCAAGTCTGCCTAAACAAAGCACTTCCATTTTACTTAACTGATGTCAGAAAATTTTGTATGAATGTGTATAATTTTTCCCAAAGAGGAGTCCCTACAAATTTCATTAAACCAAAATGGCTTAAAATGTCATATGACAGGAAGCAATCTTCTGAAATAGTAGCCACTAAGCCACACTGGTAAAAAGGAAAAATGTAAGAAGAGGAAAATGATTTTTAAATTTGACATCTGGAAAACATATATTGAGGAATGCATGCTCCAGAAATACACATTATATTTTTAAATCCAGACAAGTTGCGTAACAGACAATTGGTGTCTGTGTTTCCCTTTGCTAATCTTGCAATAATTAAACCCTACCAGTGATCTACTGGCTCTGGAACAACTCTCACTCATTTATTACAAAACTGATAGTGCTAGATAAGTAAGTTAAACATATATTGTAACAGTTAATAAACAAACAAAAGTGATCATCTCACAGAAGTCCTAGCAGAGCCCAAGTGCCTTGTAACAGGATGCCCTGCATACAAATGCCTGACAGGATGAATGCATTAAGCCAAGCTGTTCCTGCCTTCATTTAATCAGTCTTTTAACTTTCCTGGCCTATTGCACTCCGCAAGGAGGGGCTACAGGATAACAGCCTCAGTTTTCAACAGGATTCACGATTCTACAATTTAATGGTGAAAATGGCTATGCAGCTTGAGAACTTGTGATCTTGCACTTCACCAACACTCAAGGTAAGGTTGTCAATAACTAATTTTTAAATGCTCCTGAAATTTTCACACTCAACTACTTTGATGATTGGTTTTGTACGTCATTAAACTTTCTGCAATGCGTCTGAAGGGAGAAAACAAACTCTTTCTGCTGTACTGCAGAATGATATAATGTTCTGTATTCCTACCACATAGATAACCTCATACATTGATAAGACTATAACTAGTGACAGCGCTCCAGCAGCACTTTCTGCTGTGCTGCACAATGCAGACTGAGGGACATACTGCCAAGTCAGATTTTTATTTGGATAAAAAGAATTGGATAGTCAAAAATCTTCTTAAAGTACCAGAAGATTGTTGTCGGTTCAACTCTCCTCATTTTAACCAGTATATTAAACTTGCAATCTTTTTACTGAAACTGCCATTTCTGGAATTCTTAAGATTATGCACCACAGTTTTTATAGAATTGATATTTAATTCCTGATTATAGACTTTTGCTGCTTCTGTTTGATTTTTTTTCCCCTTGCACTGAAAAGTAGGTGGTTTTCATCATTCATAATTCAAAGCAAAGTGAAAGAAATCAAAGCATCAGCCACATCTCAACATTATACAAAATTCAGAGAGGCTAGAAATCCTGTGCTGCTGCTTCTATACTGGGTCAGTAACAGCCTGGGAGTATCTGCAGTCATACCCCCCTTTTCAACACAACCCATTCTAATACCAAACTGTTCATTTGAAGATGATTTGTGGTTATTTGACCAATTTCCCGTGCATTTGTCAGAAATCTTCCAACAAAACATTAGAAAGACTGACTCTTTTAAATCAAAACATTTTGTGGGGACATATTGATCTTGTTAAGTCTTTCAGAACAAGCCTCCCAAGGGGGTTTTCTGCCAGCCTGCCCAATTTGTGGGTGCCCTGCTTCAGCCAAAGTTGTTAGCAGACCATCTGGGAGAAAGGAACAGCTGCAGGTCATTCAGGTTTCCAGTTCACACTTGATTTTGAAAAAGTCAAAGTGGAAAAATTATTCCCATTTTTGCTCCCAAAACAAACATTTCAGACTCTTCCCCCTGCTCCCTAGAAATTTTCTAAACTTTAACTTTTAAGGCAGTGCAAAAATTATTACTTTGTGTTAAAATTACTGAATTTACTGAATTACACAACAGAAGTCAGTTTCCAGCCATCCCTTATTTTAACCTAAAAAGGGGATATCATGATTTGTTCAGCTCCTGGGAGATGAGAACAGTGCTCTTCCTCTGTGTGTTGCTGTAAGGTTGCAAAGCAGTGAGAACCTCCTCATCATTGTTGCTTATTTACAATAAATGGCTTTCAAGTAAAGCATTTCATCTTTTACAGAGATTGGTTTCTTTTCTCTTTTCTTCTCCATTGTATAACAGAAAGAATTTGTGAATTAATCTGACCAAAGCAAACACATCCTACAGTTCTTTCCCAGACAAAACTCCCACTGAGATCAACTGTCACTTTTACTCAGGAGAACTTTTTCCTATGAAAGCACTGCAAGAATTGGCACCCTCCATGCATCCTACAATTTTGACTGCCACTTAAATCGCTACAGTTTTATATCCAGGCCAAGCATAACATACTGTTTCTTACTCTTCTCATCCAAAGACAAAAAACACCATGTAGTTTCCAAAAGTTACTGTATTAGAACTAGCTGTCTCTGTAAGATTTTTCTAGCCCCAAGTACTAAAGTGCCTTCACAATTCTTAATTCTGTGTGAAGAAGGAAGCATCGTGTTTGTTGCTGGGACTGGGGACTGAAGCTCTCCAGGTAAGGTGCCTTGCATTAGCTCGTGCACACTGCCAGAGGCCAGGCATGGAGCTGCATCCAAAGCTCCACAATCCAACCCATGGTTTTCTTCTCCTAACATCTTTTTACACCTCATTGTTTGAATTCTAATATTTATGACACATGATATTTAGGCATGTAATGAAAAAAATCCACCTTCTTTTGTTTAAACACACAGAATCTGCTATGTATCTAAAGACCAGCTGTGCAAGTATACTTACAAGTAGACTTTCCGTGGGTTTTCTCACAATTTGGACAATGATAGATGTCGATATCTGGTGCTTCTTCTTCTTCAACACCCACACAGCTGGAATATAAGAAGGCAAATATTACATTAGCTTGAGTCCATCTCCAAACACGCAAGCATGCAATTAATAATGAAAAAAACAAACCCCCATAAACTGTGCATTTACTAATCAGCTGTGCTGACTCTAGTGGCTAGCAAAGCTTACATGTTTTTTACCCTAGTACAGTCAGACTGGATTTTTTGCAGCCTACATTCCTGATGCAGTGCTAAAAAGGGTGTCAGTTAGGAGCCTGCTACCAGCCACTGTGGACCTCCATTTAAACGTGGCAGAGAGTCCCAAAGAAGTTTTTTTCCCAGGGGCACCATTTTGTATCTACATAGAGTTCTCCAGACACCATCCCATGTAAATGTAATTAACAAAACGCATCTTCTTTACCAAGCATATATGGACAGCTGCTAGATACCAGCAAGGTATCTTGGCAAGGTGAATCATCTGCAAGACTTCTATAGGTTCCATACCTATTATGATATACACAGATGAGGAGGAAAAGAAGACACGTAACTCACAGCACTGCTGGCTGCCAAGAAGATGGGCTGGTGGATTAAGGCAGCAGCTTAGAACACCCACTGATATTATTTTGGATGGCACAGAATATGCAACAATGCAACGCAGCCTGTGGACATGCAGCGTGAACGCAATCCAATAGCAGAACACGGTGCTGGGGAGAAACAAAACTAAACTGCAAAGAAATTAAGTGCCCAAGATAAGAAGTTGTTGCACAGTCAAAGTGCTTAGCATCCTGCCAAATAATCAAACTCCAGACTGGCACTGTTCCTTATGATGGAGGAAGAGCAAACAGGAGTCTGCTCCTGCTCCCTCGGACTAAAGTAGCCCAGGCTGCAAGGCTACAGTGTTTCAGCTGGGTGCTGTGAGATACAGCACTTGTGTCATAGCCCCATGAGAGCTCAACTAGGCAAGAGGATCCACCAGAGGCCACAAAGGCAGCTTCACCTTAACCAACTGCACAAACAAGGCTGCATCACATCACAAAGCCTGAAATGCCTTCTCAGTGTCTTCAGTTAGCAGGAAACACCAACACATCGCTCCTGCTAGAGAAAGGGTTTAGGCACAGGGCATGGCAATGCCATCTCCATGCATATGGTAGCGAACAGGCTCCTCGCATCACACCAGCAGTGCCAAGTGTGATTAGTGCAGGAAGAAGAAGTCAGAGTTTTTAGATGCTGGTTCTGATCCACAGGAAGCAGAGGAGAGAATGTTTGCTCCTCTCCCACAGGCAACAGGGTGGGTCAGTTCTGCCAAGCATCTTACAGAATGTCTCCAACCATTCTCGCTGAGTTCAAGCTCTTTAGGACAATACCAAAGTGTCCAAAATAAAAACCAAGTTAAATAACTAGAGAAACTTGTGTATTTTGGATACACCAGCAATTACTAAATGTGATGGCCTAGATGCAGGAAGGCCCCGAACGTGGTTGTTGGCAGACAGGAAGGTGCACGGATAAAGGAATGATAACATGTGATCAGGCATGCCCACCTCCTCTATGTTTTTTTAAGCCTTGCAATTCACTGCGTTGTGAACCAGTTACCTGGCTCCATGGAGCTCAGAGCTCTTTTGATGCCTTTGGCAGGGGGTGTACACTTGTGTGTGTGCACATGGTGCATGTGAGCACACACGCAAACACGTGCACACTTGGGGCAGGACAAGCAACTGTTAAAATGCACTATGACCCTCTCTGTTTACAAAGTGGTTTACAAAGGTGGGTTTGAAACCACTTCTGAATCAAAGGCACACACAGTGATGTGTAACTGTGTGCATCATGATTACAAACCTCAGATCTACTTACTTTTAGAAAAGAGCATCAACAAAACCAATACTGAGTCTGCAGTCAAGCTAGAAAAAGCCAAACTAGCTAAGATATAGAAACAAATCTTTTTTAGAACAACTGTAAATGATTTGTAACAGTAAGATACTGCCAGAAACCTTTGTGGATATTTTCATCCTGTTGCAGCTGCCAGAGTGTGTATGGGACCCAGCTCCCTCCAAACCAATGAGTACAGGGTGAGAGAAGCTTTGCAACCAAAGGCAGAAAAACTCTTATTTTTGTGAGTTCAGCTTGTGAACAGGCTGGTAAACAGGACATTATTTTGGAATCATGTAAAAGCAACTGCAGATTTGGCTGATTTTTGTTTATTAGACAGTTACTTGACAAAATACAAAATTATTGGGTCTTCCTGGGCAAACAGCATGGAAAACTGAAGAATAAGTTTGCAGACAGGAAAATTCATCACAGCAATCCAGTCCTGAATCAAGTACATACAGGCAATAAAATACCAGATTAAGCAGTAGAAAATTTAAACAAAACCTGGCAAATTAGAGCATGTGTAAGAGAATATAGAGGATTCTTCTACCCATAAAGCTGTGTCAGCTGCTTATGCCACTGGATTCAGCTTGTTAAGCTTAGTAAAGGTATGGATTAGGCTCTATACAAGGGCTTGAAAAGTCTATATTTAGCTAAACTAAGGAGATGAGGCCTTTGGGTGCTGCATGGATTGCTGTAGGAGGAGATATGAAAAGCTACTGTACTGGGCAAAAGCTTCAGTGTGGTGGGAGCTATTGTTCTGAGAGCAAGTAAAAATATTTAACTAGAACAAAACAGAAAAGTAAAAATAACTGACCTCAAATTCAATCAGTTCTCTAAAAGATGCAGTCAACTTTTCCAACTACAACAGGGCTTTTGAATAAGGTTGGCCATTTACAGCTACTTATAGGCAGAAGCTGCTGTCCTCACTGTACATGAAACTTCAAGAAAAAACTGTGCCGGAAATCACCCCACTGAAATGCCTCATGTGATCGCTAACCAAATATGAACCAGTTCCAGTTGTGCCCCTTTTCTCAATGAACAGAGCTTGACTTGACAGGTCTTTCCACCAGCGGAACTGTTTGTGGGCTTTCACATGAATACAGGCATACAAAATTGAATTTCCATAGTTAAAGACAGATTGACAGAGACAATCCTTCAAGAACATTCCTGCCAGAAGAGGAACGAGGATGTCTTGCCAGGTAGGTGGATTGGTTTTATGTTGCAAGGTTTTGGCAGCAGGGCAGCCATCAGCTTCATGGCAGTGACCTACCCTTGGGCCGGTCCCCAGAGCATTTGCACCTGGGAATGAGAACCAGAAGGAGACTGCCAGCCTCGGTAGAAGTCAGTGCAGAGTCCTGAACCGGTCTCCTGCCTAATTTACAAATATATTTTTTCTCAGAGTGGTTAATTAACAATAGAATAGAATCAAAGCATTTCTCCAGCTGAAGAAAACCAAGTCATCTATAGCAGCTGAACAGTGCTGTCCTTCCCCTCAACCCCCCAATTTGAGCACAAATGGTGCTTTGTGTTTTGCATCTTTTTTTTTTTTTTTTTCATGAGAACATTCCACTTTGGTCCCTCCGTTTTCTTTTTTCAGCCCCATTTGCCTGAAACACAAACATAAAAAAGACTAGAGCCAAGCATTTGACCCCCTACAACGATCAAACAAGCTGGGAGTCAGCGAGTGCAGAATCCCAGGCGGCATGCTTGGGAGCAGCCTCCAGCAACGGGCCCTGCTGCAGCCAGCCCCACATTAATCTGTCAATACGAGCCATGGATGTGTTACGATCGACAGAGAAGAACAGGAAAAAGCTCTCAGGAGCACTTTTGTGTGATTATTCAGATCCGCCAATGGGATAAAAATGGACATAAGAGGTTCAGCAAAGGAACTGCAAAACAGTTTTCAAGGCAGGGCTCGCAAAAGGACTGGCGGGAGCAGAGGGCCAAGTGGCAGGAGGCAGAGCTAGAAGCAGCCTGGTGAACAACAGCAGGAGCAGATTCATTTGTACCAGCAGTCCCAGAATCTGCTTCAAAAAGCCCACAGACACCCAAAAACAGTGTGCTGACATCCCAGCAAAATCCCACTCTGCTGCAAGAACTCACAAATCAAGTGGTGCAGCACTTATGCCCCAGCAGCCTGTAAGAGCTCGCTAAACACCTTCTCCCATTTGTGCAGCGAAGGTACCTCACAGGCACTGGAGATTTCCTGCTCGGAGGGGTGCGTGGGTACCTCCAACAAGGTACTTAGGGGTGGAGGTCTCTAACTGTGAATTATCTCCAGCTGCAGCTTTTTAACTGTGTGACAATGAAGGCATTTGGCAGGACTAGACACATTCTTGGGGAAAGCACCAGGTTCCCAAAGCAGATTAAAAGGAGAAGACTTTTACCTGATGAAGGATAAGGAAGCAAAGTAAGAAAACTCTCCCCAGAGATCCTGCAAAGCCTTGCGCTTGCTGTCCCATCAGTGTTAACACGTGAGGGGCTGCAGCTGGTGCACAGGGCTGGGATGCGGGATGCTGGAGCATCGGCCCCGCGGCCGAGCTGGCACGTGCTGCTCTGCTGCCAGGCTCAGCTATGGAAACCCGGTCCCACCTTTCTTCCCAGATGCAGTAAAGACAGCATAAGAGATTAATCACTGTGCATCCAAGAATATCTTGTTGGAACAATTTAAAACAACTTAATGGTTGATTTTTAAATGGTATTTAAGTGATTTAACTCGGGTTAGGGCAGTGTAAAACTAACCTGATAATGAGATAAAAGTGAAACATTACTGATGTATTTGAATTTTACCAAAACTGTTACAGGAAAAAAAAAAATCATGAAAAGTAAAGCCTTTGATATTGCAGCTGTTTAAGCTGATAGATCATACACTTTACAGTGGCTTAAATAAGAATTAGTACAAACAGAAGCATTTGCAGTCAGAGGCTACAAATTACATTTTTATTAGAAACTCTGCCCTTTGCCACTTTAAAATGAAATTGCTTCTGTGTACACAATGAAGAGATGTTCAAATTTCAGTATCCTGACAAAGTTAACGACAATTTTTTATGCAGTCAACAAAAATAAAAGGTGCATAAAACAGAACTGTTTTTATAGCATGAATGTTTATGAGGATCTTGGTTTGTCATCTTTGGTGAGTTGACATTTTAAGTAATTTTCAGAGAAAAATTAACCCATGT